CTGCCTTCCTACTCCAATCCCTGCCCCACTACTGAACCCCAACCCCCTCCCAGACCCTGCCCCAGAGCACAACCCACTCCAGCCCTAGGTCACAATCCAAACTCCTGTACCCCAGGTCCCAGCTGCCTCCTTCACCCAAACTCAGTGGCCCCCAACCCAAAAAAGGTTCCCCACCCCTGCCATAAATAAAAATAACATTGAAACCTTTTTGTTGGATGTCACATGTTACTTGATTTAAAAATGACGCCTGGCCAACAAGGCCCCAGTTGGGGCCCAGCTCCCATCTGGCTGCAGCATCATAACACTCCTGCACCCCTCACACAGCAACCCTGAGCCTGTCATCAATCTTATCCCCCTGACCTGAGCCCCTGTTATCCCCATTGGGGCCCATGTTAAAGCTCCCCCTCTAGATTCTCTCCCTCCAGGGCGGAGACTTGTGTTGGGCCAGGAAAGGGAAATCTCGTCAGCCCCTGAGCTGTGTCCGACGTCCCTGCTCTCTGCCCAGCCCAGCACCAACTGACTCGCTGCCCCCCGCTGGTCTCCCTTTTGCAGGTTTAATGTGACAGAAGGCGCAGACTGTGCATATATGGACAGCATACAAGTCTCATCCTCGAGTTGCCTGACAACGAAGAAGTGGATCTGCAGCAAGCCTAGTGTGCACTGAGGAAGGGCCAGGAAGGGAGTGACCAGAAGATCTCTGCCCAGCCCAGCACCAACTGACTCGCTGCCCCCCGCTGGTCTCCCTTTTGCAGGTTTAATGTGACAGAAGGCGCAGACTGTGCATATATGGACAGCATACAAGTCTCATCCTCGAGTTGCCTGACAACGAAGAAGTGGATCTGCAGCAAGCCTAGTGTGCACTGAGGAAGGGCCAGGAAGGGAGTGACCAGAAGAGGCCGCACGCAGCCAACAGGAGCAGATCCCACGACAGTCACCAGTTTCCTGCTACATTCGCTGCGCCATCGGCATGGACACCTGTAACATACTGGGTTGGTCCAGGTACTGCTGTGAGGGTCAGATCAGAGCAAATTGCCCAGAGCCAGGGCTACTTACAGCCCAAAACTGGAGTCTCTCAAAAAATGAAGAGTACAGGATCTTCCAAAAAAGCTGCCTCCTGTCAGCAGAGCCACGGCTAGACTTCACTTTTACTTTCAGAAGGACGCTTGATTGGCACAGTGTCCCAACGTGACTATGCAAATGAAGCCTGGGATATTTAAATCCCAGGCTTACTTGCACTTCCAAAGTGCTTGATTTGCATCCCTCTGTTGGCAGGGGGATGAAGTCTAGACACAGCCTAAGGCAAAAACCAGGCCAGCAAGAAGTCTCCCAAGCAAAACCCCTTAGACATCCCAGCGTTCCCTGTGCCACAGTCAAAGACCCCCAACTTACACAGGTGAGACGTTATAAACCACCAGCTCTCAACCCAAGACCCTGAGAGTAGCAGCACTGCTACCACTCCCATTGGTGGGGAATCCAGTCAAAACACACCAAGGATACCTGGGTGGCAGAAATCACTCCTGCGCCCTCCCTGGGGGTATGTCTACACTGCCACCCTAGTTCGAACTAAGGTGGTTAATGTGGGCAACCGGAGTTGCAAATGAAGCCCGGGATTTGAATTTCCCGGGCTTCATTTGCATCTTGCCGGGTGCCGCCATTTTGGACTCCGTGCCCATGGCTACACGCGGCACAGACTAGGTAGTTCGGATTAGGTTTCCTATTCTGAACTACCTGTACACCTCGTGGATGCTGCAAGCCCAGAGGTGCTGGTGCCTCCCAACACAAACTAAGCACTGCCCTGACTCTGCATGCGGCCCAGTGTCCTGTCGGCACACACTGGCCAATGGCAGGTGCCCCAGAGGGAGTGAACAGCACAGGGAATCATCAAGTGATCCCTCTCCTGTTGTCTATTCCTAGCCCCTGACAGACAGAGTCCAGGGATACTCTGGGCTCATCTACACTGTTGTACTGAAAACCTGCTTCTGGAATCTGCAGCTTTAAGAAGATCAGGGGTTCAAACTTGGGGACTTGCCACACATGCCTTATGTGCTGTGAACTCCCTCCTTGTGTGCGTGCGCATCCAGGCACAAGGTGACCCTGATCTCAGGCAGGTGGTTATATCTCACTATATGATATGAAATAAAAATTTTCTTTGCAGCAACACAACATTTTCACGGAAGTTTTATTTCCCCAAAGCCATGTCCAGGCTCACATCCAGGCCACACAGCTGGGGTGTGCAACAGGGAAAAGATGCCATAGCCAGGAAAGGGTTAACAGGACATATGGCCAGGGGCAGCAGGGTATAAAAGGAAGAGGGGGTTGGAAACAGGGACAAGGAGAGGCTGGAAGTGTAGAAGTTGCCTTGGAATAGAGGGCAGAGAGATAAGAGGGAACTTGGTGAGAGGGATGGGGCAGGAGAGGGGCCTCCAAGCGTGGAAAGGCTGGTCCCTACCTGCCCCCAGGCCTGTTCTAACTCTCCGGATGCTGCTCTTGCCCTCAACCCATGTGACAGACCGGGCCGTGTCTGGGCACAGCTGAGGGCGTCCGCTCAGGGCGAATTGCTCAAATCCGGGGCTCCTTACAGTCCCCAGACTGGTGACCTCTCCAAACAGGCCACAAACCAGTCTCACAGAGCGCTTCAGCTGCCTGCCTGAAGCCTCACGAGCAAAACCCCTCCGACACCCCAGCAATATCCGTGCCCCAGATGGCCCCGGGCCTCATACACAGGTGGGGGGTCCTAGCACCCAATCCCACCTACCCCGAACAAGTTCTGTCCGGTTCCAAGAAACCAG